ACAGTTTCTCTATCCATTCATTTGTTGATGGGCACTTAGGTTTTTTCCAACTCCTTGCTATTGTGAACAAAGCCATGATAAACATTGGTGTGCGTATATCTGCTTGGATGTCAGTTATAGTCTCTTTGCAGTATATTCCCAGTAGTGGAATTGCTGGGTCAAATGGTATCTCTATTTGCAACATTTTGAGAAAGCGCCATACTGCCTTCCACAGTGGTTGCACCATTTTACACTCCCACCAACAGTAAATAAGAGTTCCAGTTTCTCCACAACCTCGCCAGCATTTTTTGCTTGCTGTTCTGTTAAATTTTACTATTCTGACGGGGTGAGATGATATGCATATTAGGGTATGAGCTTAAACAACATAGGATTGGAGATAGGGTAGTATATATGCTGTTGGATTAGTATGGCAATACTAATCTCAGAAATTAAACACAAACTGGGAAATCTCAGCAGCACACACACAAAAATACATTGTATTCTTTGTGATAATTTGGTGTATCCAAGTGATCAGAGTAAATTTAGCATAAATTAATCTCTAAGACACTTGATGTTAACACCTTTATTATGGAGGTATTGCCAGTGATAGACTTTTGGAAGATAATTTTCAGAGTTAAAAACAAAAGTTATGGTACACTTGACAGGTGACAAAATCTCCTCGAAAATACACTGAGAAAACTACTCATAACTATCTTGATATTTCTTAACAGTATCAAGTGGATTTTAGGAATTTTACTTTCTTGTTACTTTGCTCATACATGAATCAAATAGGATTTTCATTACTTAAACATATAAATATTACTGTTGTTGTTAGTTATCATCATATTCCCAACTCATAGCAGCTCCTAACAGAAGCCCTGTCCTGTGCCGTCCACACTACCATTACGGTATTTGGATTCGTTGCTGCAGCCAGTATGTCAGTCTATCTAATTAAAAGGAAGTGGGGTTTTTTTTTTGCTAATGTCCTTCTTCAAGGACTAACCCCACTGTAGAGAGAACAAGAGCCACATGGGGATGGCCATATCTGACCTTTCCAAACTCCCCAAAAGAGAACTGTCCCTGTCAACAACACAAAGCCAATTTCTATGAGGTCGTACGTGTTTCCCACACTCCCATAGCTTTTTCTCCTAATTCTGTCACCAGTCTTACTTCTATGCTGAGTCAAGAATCCATTGCAATAGCTCAAAGACCACACAGAACTGTATTAGGAAACTTAAAGGCTAGAATTCAGGTTGGCAGCAGATATAGTTAGTCAGGACAGCTTCTAAAATGTGCTCACAAAGCACCTCAGGCTGTACCTTTGCAACTTTAGGCCAGTGTAACAAAACTCTTGTTGTTGTTGTTGTTGTTATGTGCCATCGAGTCGT